TGATGATGATGATGATGATGATGATGATGATGATGATGATGATGATGTTGATGATGATGATGGCCAGCAGAGGCTGAAGAATAATAGTCAAGGGGGTAGGAACACTGAGAGATCTTTACCAATCTCAATTCCCTGGGAGCATCCTCACCTTTACCCAAGTTATTTTCCTCCCTATTACTCTGTGTGTACCCTCCCTCCCCCACCCCACAGTGCTTAAAAATGTTTCATTCATTTAATGAATCCAGATATATGTGACTTGAATTATGGAGACAAGGAAACCAGAGAATACTAATCTCAGTATGTAGTTCTACACAGGGTAAGACACACTTATTTCTTGATAGAGGGGCACTAGATTGAAAGTATGAAGACCTAGTGTCTTATCCTGGCTCTATCTTTGATTTACTGTGTTTAACCTTGAATAACCTGGGCCTCCCTTTCCTACTCTGAACAATGAGAAATTGGACCAGAGTATTTTTAAGACTCATGCTATGCCTAAAATTTTAGCATTCAATGATTCCATTTCTGATACTCTGGAACAAAGAGGCTGTACAGGGATTCTATCCTTTATATAGGTTCACCTTTGGAGGTGTTTCCAGTCTATGGGCATAAATGGGAACATATTTAAATTCCACTGAAATAGGGCATCATTATGTGGATTTAGAGATTCTAAAAACAAAATCAATTTCCCTGAAATGTACCAATTCTATATGACAAATGCTTAATACAGTACTAGCTATAAGATCATCTAGTCTAATTCCATATTTTACAGATGAAAAAAATGAGAGTCAGAGAGTTTAAATGATATGGTGAAGGGCTGACAGATGGTAAAATATAGAACCACTATATCATACTGCCTACAGTGCAGATGTGGTTAATTCAGTCAACAATCATTTATTAAGGACTTATTATGTGCCCGGGCACAGTGCTAAGCACTGGAGGAAAAAAATAACTAAAAAAAGAAAAAAAAAACAGTCCCAGTTCTCAAAGAATATTCTAAGGGAGATAATATATAGGAAATATACAGGATTAGTTGGAGATAATCTCAGAAGGAAGGCACAAAAATGATCAAGAACCAAGAAACTTCTTATAGAAGGTGGAATTTTAGCTGAGATTTGAAGGAAGCTGAGAGGCATGCATGGGGAAGGAGTATATTTCAGGCATGGGGAACAGCTAAGGAAAATGTCTGGAGAAAAGAGATGGAGTGTCACAGGCAAGAAACAGCAAGGAAACCAGTGTCACTGGATCACAGAGTGCTCGGGGGAGTGTTAAGTGTAAGAAGATTAGATATGGAGGAAAGGGCCAGGTGATGGAGAGCTTTAAAAGCCAAATGGGGGATTTTATATTTAATCTTGAAATTAATAGGGATCCACTGAAGTTTAGGAGACTGAGGCAGGGAGATCAACGAGAATGCTATGACAAGAGCAAAGGTGTGAGGTGATGAAGGATTGCAGCAGGGTAGTGTCAGAGGAGGGAAGGGGGCATAAATGAGAGATGTTACAAAGGTAAAAACAATGGGACTTGGTAACAGAGTGGATATGGGGGAGACAGAGTGAGGAGATGAGAACACCACCTAGGTTCTGAACATGACTGACTGAGAGGATAGCAGTATGCTTGATGGTGAGAGGGAAGTTACAAGGAAAGAAGGGCTTGGGGGAGAGTTCAGTTTTGGGTATTCTGAATTTAAGAAGACTATGGGTTATCCTGAGATATCTGAAAGTCAGCTGGAAATGAGTGACCAGAGGTGTACAGAAATATTAGAGCTGGACAAATCGATCTGAGAATCATCTGCATAGAGATGATGAATCCATTGATTGAAATTGAATTGAGAGTTGATGAAATCAAGTGAAATAGTAGAGAGGGAGAGAAGACATCCCAGGATAGAACCTTGATATATACTCACATTAGCAGGCATGAGCTGGAGGAAGATTCGGCAAAGAAGACTGAGAAGAGACATCAGACAAATTGAAAGAGAACCAGGAGACAGTAGTGCCATGAAAACTTAGAGAAGAAAGTATAAAGGAAAATTGAATAATCAACGGTATCAAAGACTGTAAAGACATCAAAAAGGATGAGGACCAAGAAAAAGTCATTAGATTTAGTGATAAAAATGTCAACTGGTAACTTTGAAAGATGAGGTCAGAAGCAAGATCACAGAGAATTAACATGAGTGAGAGAGGGGCAGCTAGGTGGCCCAGTGGATAGAGCTCCAGCCTTGGAGTCAGGAGGAGCTGAGTTCAAATTTGGCCTCAGACACTTGACATTTACTAGCTGTGTGACCCTGGGCAAGTCACTTAACCCCACTTAACCTCGCCAAAAAGAAAAAAAGAAGAAGAAAAGAAAATTTAGAACTCAAGAATGTTGAAAACTGAAAACAAATAAATAAATAAAACTTTAAAGAAAAAAAAAGAGGGGTTAGGGAAGGCTTCCTGTAGAAGGTGGAATTTTAGGTGGGATTTCAAATCCTAGCTCTAAAATGTGTGTGATCCCCCCAGGCAATTAAATCTTTCTCTATGAATTCAAGTTTCTTCATTTGCCTAATAAAGACCTAGGCCAGATGACTTCTATGGGCACTTCTAGTTCTTAGATTCTGTGTATGACTAGCTAGTTGTGTCACCTTGGTTAAGTGACATAATCTCTCCAAACCTACTTTTCCTCTAATAACAATAACAACAATAATAATGATGATGATAATGATAATAATAATAGCATGAATACATATGAGTATATGTATGTATATAGATATGTATGTTTGTATACATGTGTATATTCATATGTATATATATACTGCTATTATTATGTATTATGTATTCTGTACATATACACATTATTGTACATATATGCATATTTGTATGCATGCTGTATAATTATTTTTAAAAATTATTTTATGGTGTGCAAAGAACTTTACAAATACTATCTTTTTAGCTTACAACACCTTGAAAAGTAGATGTTCTTATTATCCTCATTTTACAGATGAAAAAAAGCTAAGGTATAGAGAAGTTGTAACTTGCCCAGGATCACATAGCTGGTGTTTGATGTGGGATTCAAACCCAGCTCTTGCTGACTATAAATCCAGTATTTTATATACTCTACCATACTGTCTCCCAAAGAGGTGGTTGACCTTCTCGAGGATACCTTTTACTTCTTCATTTTCATTACAGCATTTAACACAGTATTGTACATACACTGTAAACACTCATTAGTAAAAACAATAGCTCAAATTTTGATATCTTTTTTAAGGTTGACAAAGTACTTTCTTTACATCAACTTCGTGTAGTTGATACTAAGTGAGTACTATATATACTGATATCTTCTTTTTCCAGGTGAAGAAAAGAAAAGTCACAGAGTTTTCATGAGTCACCCAAGGTCACACAGCCCATAGACATCAGAGCAGCGACTTAAACCAAGATCTCCTGACTCCAGGTCCAGCATTCTTTTTCACAATATCATGCTGCTTGTCAATTAATTAAAACATCTGTAAATCATGGCCATATGGCCACCCCAAGTTGCCACGGGTTATATTATTTGACTACACATTTAATCATATGAATTCCAAAACACGTTCGTCTCTTCCTTCCCTGTGGTTCCTTTCTGCCAGGTGCCAGGCACTGGGCCTTTAGGAAAAAAAAAAAGAGAGAGAGAGAGAGAGAGAGAAAGAAAAGAAAAAAGGTGCTGTATTACCCATAATCTCCACATTGTGGACACCTGGTTTCCCTGAAGTCACTCTTTCCACCACTTCACTGTGTAAAAGTCCTTCTAGCAGCCTGCTGTGCGGGTGGGGATGACGTGGTGTGTGGCACTGAACAGTAGTCTGCCCCCTTCACCCAGACAACTTACGAGAATTGGAATCTAAAAGGAGAACTCCTACATCAAGCACACTATTGTTTAGGATTCAGTCACATTTTCCCTCTGAGCCCTTAACAAGGAGGCCCAAGTCCCTTCTGTTGGCTGTGATTACCCTTTCCATAAGTTCATGCAAATTTCTCCTGTGAGGGGGAAAAAAGATGGCCAGACTTCTACTGAGCTCAAGCAGTGTGGTTAGGAGAAAGTTGAGGAATTTTAGGGATTCCTATTAAACAATCTAAGAGTCATGATTAGGCAAAAGGGCTCATCAAGCAGTATGGTGATCCTGAGATGGGAAGTCAGAGGACCTGGGTTAATTGCTACCTGTGTGATCTAAGATAAGTCACTTAACCTCTCTCACCCAATGATTACTCCAACGATCTCTTAGGTCCCACCCAGCTGTAATCCTATGACCTATGACACAGATGGTAAGTACATAAGCTATCCTTTCATGGAGTTTAGAATCCAACAGACAAAATCAGAATCCATGCAATAGAAAGGTATACTCTAATAAACTTCGCTTGTCACTTGAAAACTCTATGCCAAAATCTCCATGAAAGCAATCCTTTGTCCCTTAGCCTTTCTCACCTAAATTAAGTAAACCCTTTATGACTATAGTTGGTGGGGAGAGTTGGGGTGAGAGCCAGGGGCAGAATTCTCCTGGGGTCAATCTGCATGATTCTGTTTCCATTTGGCTCTCCTGAGGTATTTTAGAGGTACTCTAGAAAGGACAAAATAAAATAATAAAATGGAAAAGCAGAGAGGTTAGGGATGGGAACACTGCTTAACTTTGAAGGGCACATGTTATGGGCATCCAAGAAAGGTACATCAAATAAGAACAAAGGCCAAACTGAAAGGAATGAGGTCATATTTGCCTGGTGAATCTGTCCTCACTCAGCTTTGCAGTTTCCCACTTGATGGACTTAATGTTTACAACTTTTCACTGACTTAAGGTTTTCTTACATCTCCAGCCAAAGCTAAGAGCCTAATTATTGTAATAGTGAAATCAGCCCCAGTGGTAAAATTGACCGAGGTGGTAGGGGAGTGAAATTGACCATGGAAGGAGAAAGGAG